TGTTTTGATTTAAATGGAGAAACCCAAAGAGGTTCTGGAAACTAACTGAACAAATTGCAAAATCTAACATACAGTAGTGACCATTCCAAGTATGAAATTGTTAGGATGTATATATACAATCACAATTGAAAGGACGGCACAAGCAAAAGGAGAGCATCTCAAAAAATGAACGCCAAGGTACAAATTAGGGCGACTTGTTCCCCAGAGTCATTTCACACAATTAACATTCCTCCTTCCTGGTTTACCTGAAGGGTTAGACCGTTTGAAAGAGCTGAAAGATCTGTTTTGTCTCTGGGTTGGTTCCTTACACACACACACACACACACACACACCTCGTTTCCATTTCAAAAACCGAGCTGTGGTTTTTTTCCTTCTTCTAAGAGATGCTTCTGGGGAGGCCAAGAAAAATACAGCGGGCATTTCCTGTGCATGGTGGCTCCACTGGCGTGCCGAGGGATCCCTCCATCCTCTGGGCAAACGAGCCGGAGGAAGGATGCTCAGCCATCCCAAACCAGCATCCCAAAGTCTCAATGTGCATGTGTGAATGAATCCTTCTGGATCAGGCACGCAGGGGGAGGGGAGAGACACATTTGTGGAGGGGCTGACTTGACGCTGCTGCGGTGTTGAGGAGGGGGCCTTGGGAAGATGCCGCTGGTGTGATCTCGGCTGGAAAGCCTGTGTAGGGCAGAAAAAAAACCCACAAGTAATAGTTGGAAGGGACCTTATAGGTCATCTAGTCCAACCCCCCTGCCCAAGCGGGAGACCCTACACCATTTCTGACAGAGGGCAATCCAATCTCTTCTTGAAAGCCTCCAGGGATGAAGCTCCCACAACTTCCGAAGGAAACTTCTGTTCCATGGGTTGGTTGTTCTCACTGTCAGAAAATTTCTTCTTATTTCCAGGTTAAATTTCTCCTTGTTCAGTTTCCATCCATTATTGCTTGTCTGGCCTACAGGAGCTTTCGAAAATAGCTTGACCCCCTCCTCCTCTCTGGGGCAGCCCCTCAAATATTGGAAGACCACTATCACGTCTCCCCTGGTCCTTCTCTTTACTAGACTAGCCAGGCCCAGTTCCTGCAACCGTTCATTGTATGTTTTAGCCTCCAGTCCCCTAATCATCCTGGTTGCTCTTCTCTGCACTTTTTCTAGAGCCTCAACCTCTTTTTTTATAATGTGGTGACCAAAACTGGATGCAGTACTCTAGGTGTGGTCCAGTGGTGGGATTCAAAAAATTGTACTACTGGTTCTGTGGGCATGACTTGGTGGGTGTGGCTTGGTGGGTGTGGCTTGGTGGGCATGGCAGGGGAAGGATACTGCAATATCCTCCTTCCCTCCCCACCCCCCTAACCTGCTTTCCAGCTCTGTTTTCCTGTGCAGGGCAACCAAAGGAGACCCAGCCGATCAGCTGGGACTCGATGGGAGGCAGAGAATAGGTGGGGTTGGCGGGGCCAGTCAGAGGCGGTATTGGCCGGTTCTCCGAACAACTCAAAATTTCCGCTACCGGTTCTGCAGAACCGGTCAGAACCAGCTGAATGCCACCTCTGGTGTGCCCTTACTAAAGCTTTATAGAGTGGCAATTAGTATCTCATTTGATCTTGACTGAATCCCTCTGTTAATTCAGGTTAGGATTGCACTGGCTGTTTTGGCGGCGGCTGCGCACTGTTTAAGCCAGATTGCTGGAATCGATTCCTCACCCTGAGTGACAGCCAGTCTGCCTGAACTGAGATCAGACAGGCTGTGGGCTTTCTGCCTATCCTGATTAGTTGCAAACATGTAACTTTCTTTTCTTTTTTTTGGCTGAAATGACGTTTCCAGCCAGGGACTCACCTGCTCCACTTGGGGCTCAGCACCCCATCCCGCTGAAGGCTCCGATAGGGTCCAGCTTGACCCCGAAGCAGCTTCGTGAGGGCCCCTTTTTGCTCCTGGACTGATGGCTCCTGGTGGAGCTGAGCAGCTCTGTCAAAAGCTGCTGGAAATCGAGCGGGTGCTCCTCCTGGCTCCTGGACCACGGGAAGGCCACGTCTGGCTGGTCCAGGGCTCCAGTCATCAGGGACTCCTCCTGCCCTGGGTCCATCACCTCTGCACCCATGGGGAGCTCCAGGTCTTCCTCCAACAATGTTGATAAGCTCTGCAAGCAGGGAGGAGGAGGGGGCGTGAGGAGGAGGAGGAGGAGGAAGAAGAAGAAGAAGAGGAAGAAGAAGAGGAGGAGGAGGAGGAGACAAGGGAGAGGAGGGAGAGGAGGGAGAGGAGGAGAAGAGGAGAAGGAGGAGCAGGAAGAAAAAGATGAAGATGAAGGAGGAGGTGGAGAAGAAGGGGAAGAGAAGGAAAAGTGGAGAAGGAAAAGAGGAAAAGGAGGAAGAAGAGAAGACAAAGGAGAAGAAGAGGAGGAAAAGGAAGGAGGAAGAGGAAGAGAAGGCAAAGAGGAGGAGAAGGAGGAAGAAGAGGAAAATTCACAAAAGAGGAAGAGGAGCAGGAAGAGGAGGAGATGTAGGAGGAGATGG